ATATATATATGCGTGTGTATACCTCCTGTCTGACAGTTTGATTTTAGACCGGGGTGGCGACTGTATATTCAAATACTGCATATACTGATCAACGGGCATCAGATCCGGTACAAACAGGCCTGCAAAAATGGCATTGAGTAATTGATCAGAAGTCAGGATGGCGGTGTAGTGGTACCTAGGAAGCTTCGCACACAGAAAGTTACCGAGATGGATAAAGACTAGGCTGAGATGTGAGTAAATAGACGCATTATGATATGATTGAGAAGAAAAAGCTATGAAGATGCAAGATACTTGGAAATAGACCCTAATTGAGATACACGTTATAAATACGTGGGCAAAAAAAATGCATGTGCAATTGAAGACTATCGTCTGCGCCTGGGCTTGCCAGCTTTATATGATGGTCTCTGGTATAGAAGTGGAAGCACAGATACATATGTGCGAAGCGGGCTCACACAACGAGGATTATATATACATGTGAAGTGAAAATTCTACGCCATCCGCCAATACTTGATATGCCTGCTACTGCATTTTCACAGTCACGTGTCGATATCACAATCGATACTACGCCCAGGCTGTGCCACCATCCGACCTGCAAGTGCCCTAGGCACTCGGCGTGTCCCGCAAATGCTGACATACATTATGGACACAGATAGCTCACGTCTAGTGGCTGAAGTATAGCATAATAACTAGCAGAAGTATAACAATCTGTAGAGAGATAATCTTCAGAATAAGTATAACATATTCTTGTAAGAGTGTGATCTTAGGAGTAGTATAACACGATCTTCGGTAAAAATTTACCATAATATCTAGGAAAAGTATACCATAATCTTGAAGAAGTACAACTACAACATAATCTCTAGGAAAAGTGTAACACGACCACATAGGGTGGTTGCGGGTACATGAATAGAGTAGTTGCAGAAAAGGTCAATTGCACGCAAAAGTACTCATCGACTCACCTTCTTCGTTGCATTGCCTCGTCAGCGAAGTCTCCCTGTCGCATCAAGAGGTAGGTGGCAAGATATTAGGCACAGGCGCGCAGTGGGAAATCGGATTACATACACAGCCGAATTTAGCATAGTATCCAGGTTAACAAAACAACAGAGATTTCTAATCAACCAAGGCTTTGCTGTATCAGGGTTACACAAGTAGGAGACAAAGGTACCAAATATTCCGGTGAGCGGGCGATTTCCCGCCGGTGAGGAGTCATACACGACAATCCCAAAGAGCACCTCCGACACTCAATTGTGCACACCTGTATGCAGTCCACACACACCTTGCCACCCACGGGTGTTGCTTTATCTGGTCGATAGTTATCCTTTGCGCGGGATCGACAGTCAGTATGCCTTTCATGAGGTCTGTGGGACACATGAACGCAGATAGGACGAGTTAGTATAGAATGTACAGTGCAGCGACTGGGCTAGTAATTAATTAGGCAGCATTCCACATACTGTGGAGTGGGGTAGTAGTAAGAGGTGGCAGTAGACGCCTGGCACTACAGAACTGGCCAAAGTACTCAGTTGGATATGCGAAAGTCTCTTGCACAGGATCGAAGGAAACTGAAGACAGCGGACGCATGTGAGAACCGGCTCAGCGTGTGCTACAAAGGAGAGGTGCCAGAACACCCCAGGCATTCAAATTGCTACTTGGTGTACAAGTATCCAGGTGTGATCCCAAATATGTTATTACACGACGAAAGCGGGTATGAGTGCACAAATGAAAATGCGACTACAAGCTATATATCACATAATCAATGAAAGAGACCTAGTTCAACATCCGCCGATCGGGTTGAAGTGCCTATATCACTGGCGCAAATCGCAGACAGCTGACGCGATTGGCTATATTGCGATGTCTGTCATACCTCGTGCCGAGACACTCATGTTTGACCACGGGTATTGGTTCTCCATATTCACTGATCCCAGCCGCCAGTTGCGGAAATCAGAACACTGCTCCGACGGCTCGTCCCAGGGTAAACCTGTACACACCCAGTGCCAGTGTGAGCATGGTGATTTGCAAGAGTGGTGTGTGTATTCAGGGAGGTACGCTGATGGTAAATTCTGGGAAGGAACTGTCAATGAACTATATAAAATACAATGTCGGCATGGATACGGGGTGCAGGCACATCTGATCAATTGCAATTGTCCGGCATGAGAGCATACGATTGGCACTACGAGGGCGCCGCCTCTAGATAGAATGCGCACAAGTAACCACCCCGGAGCTTAATATACAGTGACCAGCCCCAAAAACCCGTCGCTGTAGCAAACCACACAGTCGTCGAACTAGCCCAGAAATCCCATAAGCCAGTGCAAAGCACGTAGATCATCAATGCACACAAGCACACATGACCAACTGATAATCCTAACGCAAATGTACACACAACACGCCAGGGTTAGCACGGATACGCCCTTTCTCTCCCTCGCGCGCGCACTAGTACTCGAGAACGTGATACAGGCTGTCGCACAGACATGGACTGACATAGAAGTGTATACATACATCCCGCCAGCAGTGTGATAAGCACCACGCCACACGACCAGATGTCGGCTGGCTGGGCCTTGTATTCCAGTTCGTTGTACACCTACGCATAAGAGTATAAGTGCGGACGTTATGTGGTGTATTTACAAACGGATGTCCCTTGATGAGTTGAATTAATTGCTAGTACTGCGGCCTAACGTAAACGTTCCGCAACAGAGAAGCAGCGAAGGTATTCACCTTGTTCTTCCTGTTAAACTTTTCATGGTGCCCATCTACCATATTTGACGTGTATGGAATGTTCGTGATAGTAAAGTCGGTTGTATAAACAGACAGACAATCATACAGATTAAGAACACCACGCCACTACCTAAATGTTGACCATACGCCCTACGCTACTGACCTTATATATAACACTGTCTAAGCAAAGAGGGCCACTTACCTCTGGTGCAATGTACGGAAACGTGCCGCATCGGCGCTGTAGGAGTCGTTCTTTCCCTTTGTTGCGGAAAACAGTCGACAAGCCAAAATCGGATATCTTGAAATTATCTGATACGCACCGAAGAGGGCCAAAAAGAAATGCTAGATATGAGCGACTTGGCGCGGCAGTATAACTGCTATACTTACTGAGTGGTATATGATCAGAGAAGTGAGGCTGCGAGAGTCAGCTAATACGGGCTGTAAAAGAAATGGATTTGAAATGAACACATCAACCACCACATCTGCACCCGCGCGTTGAAGACTACCGAACAGTACACAACAAGGCGACGACAAGGCAACAATCCAGGGAACCCGTGATGAGGGAAAAGAAACAAGACATACTGTGATCGTCTAGCAGGATGTTCTCTGGTTTGATGTCTCTGTGCGCAACACCCATTGCGTGCAGGTACTCGACACTGGATATGAGCTGCTTGAAGTACACATGCGCCAGATCCTCATCCACACCGCAGTCCGGTTCTGCATACAATAAGAGTGATTGACAACCCAGTGTCATTAGACACCAACCGGATAACCGAAAGGTACTTGGCGCACAAATGTAACAGTGGGCGAGCTATGAGCACCGTAGCACCAATCGATTGATACATCTTTGCGCATCGAGTATCTAATACCGTAAGCAGATACCAAAGAAAGAATAGGAATAGGATGTGAAGTATAAGGGAAGGCGCCACGTTTGCCGGAACCACGCTACGGCAGTTGACATATAGACACCCACTATCACAGACAACACGGCAATAATCAAATTGCCGTGCCAATGGACTGGGCAGCGACCAACATGTATATGTTGAAGGAAGCGGCAAACACCTTAAAAAGACACTTGTCAGCTACAAGCTAGTACAGGATCAGGCATTATCGAGACCCAACGGCTCAGGTGATGTTTTGAAACAAAGGTGGACTTACCAATCTTGTCGAAAAGTTCACCGCCAGCCGCGTATTCTAACAGCAGATATATCTTGGACTCGATTTGCTTGTACGCGTGAAACTGAATAATGTGCTTGTGTTTCATATTCTTGTGTATACAGATCTGATTTGGAGAAGAATTAAGGGCAATGTGAAGTTTAGTACGGAGATATACAACAATCTTCTCATACGTCTTCTCGTGCTGTGCATTCAATCCAGCTCTGCTTGAGTGGCATGTACTGGAAGTATTTCACACCCAATACATCGTATCCGGGGCACTACCAATCAGTCCCAACACACAACACCAAGTAGCTCTGGTACACACACCTCTTTCTTCACCATATCGAATATCTGTTGCGGCGTACCGGCCGTTGGGACAACCTCGGAAGGCTGCAGATTCTTGTGCCGAATATTGACCACCTTCACGGCATATTTATCGCCGTTGCTGGTGATGCCCAGCTTGACCCTAGGGCAATGGGTGACACAGGCGGTCTATCAGCTTCGTATACAAACAGTATTGACATCTACGGGCTTTTCTGCATACATGCGGTGAACCTCAATAGTATCCGTAGAACAAAGTCTGAACTAAATAAGACTCCTACGGTATAATCGTATATATGTTGCCAGCTATGAATAACGTTGCTACATCTGTGAGGAGGACGGCGACAATGCCACTCAACCCAAGCGTGGCAGTCGCGGATAAACATACACTACATCATAGCATATCGATACGGATGACGGTCGCCAACATAGCATGCTGAATTAGAGGAGTCCACAGGTTTTATGTGTGTGACAGTAGAACACGACATTTCAACTGCAATCAGAATGATAATAGCCGAGGTGGGTCATTCGCCGTTCGCCACCACTGGTAATGTACATTGGGTGTGATACGAGCTTACCTTATTTAAAAAATACATTCTATTCACACCAAATATATTAACATTCTTGGGGCACTTGGAATGGATACATGCAGAGCTAGAATTGATTTCAGGGTACGTGATCATCCGGAGGTGAGTGTGGAATAAAAATATAAATGTCATTTGGCGTACACGTATGAGCTCACTGAGATATAAACGAAAGAAATTCACTCTCGAAATCGTGATTCGCGAAGGAACCACCCACTCACTGTCCCTATAACTTTAAATCTATCACACTCAGACAGATCACGTCGTCTTTATATCGAGCATTTTAAACTCTATATTTACAAGAAACAAGATGACATACGTACTAGGTACGTGCATACGATTCGACATATGGGGTACATATGAGGAATTTATATCAAGACAATACGCCCTGTTGTATGTAATGTTTTTGCGATAGGATGTACAAGCTTGTCGTAGTACAAATGTAATATAAGGATCGAATATGTACTGGTGAACAAGTTTGTACCGAGTGTGAGTATAGAGGGAGAAAATGAAAATAATTCATTAATTAAAAGTATACACATTTTTTCTTTATGTACCCACAAATGCATATATTAACATGAT